TACTAGTTTAGCCACATAGCTCAGGAACTCTTCTATGAAAAGGGAAAGTGATGGTGATGACAGTTCACACAAGGCCGGCCACTGGAACGATGCAGTAGGATTCAGTGGTACAGAGCTTTCAAAAGGGAATAAATTTGAGCAGCTGTTTGGGAGACTGAAGAGATCCGCCTTTCATTCTGTAGGCCCTACAATTTAATCCAACTCTGCCACACTTAGAGGTGTTTTATGGTAAAAAGAGGATCTGGGAGAAAACTCATTTAAGAAGAATTGGTTTTTATACCCCGCTTTTCTCTATCCAAAGGAGTGTCAAAGCGGCTTACAATCGCCTTCCTTTCCCCACAACAGACACCCTGAAAGGTGAGTGGGACTGAGAGAGTTCTGAGAGAACCGTGACTGGCCCAAGGTCATCCAGCTGGCTTCATGTGGAGGAGGAGTGGGGGGATCAGACTTGGTGCTCCAGATTGGAGTCTGCTGCTCTTAACCGCTATACCACACCACACTGGCTTTAAGGCAGTGCTGTGTCAGAGTTTGCTATGCAGAAAAAGTGCACTTAGCAAGCAATTTCTCTAGTGAAGTTTCTCAAGATATTCACTGACATTGCTGAGATACCAGGATAAGTGCCTAAGCTCTTGAGAAGTGAATATAGACTTCTCCAGCTAAACTAGTGTTCACCACTAAATCATCTGGTCATCTGCTTTTGCAAAGTCAGGATTGTGCCTTTAAAACAGCGTAGCCTCTACCTCTCGGACAGTATTAATCACGGAATTTTTTCAAAAAATCTCTGATCGATGGTTTCCCTCCCAAAGTACAAGGAAAGTTCAGAGACAGAAATATGCAAAATAGGACCATGTCTTTTGGGTGCAGCAACAGTTAGCTGTCCTTTAAGGTCTTAGAGTACCGTTTTCCAGAAATAAACCGTTGACGTTAATTCTATTTTCTCCTTGTACAAGAAGTGACAAATTAATTCCAATTGGTTTAAAAATAAAGGTCTAAACAAACCTCTAGTATTCAACACTTGCATTTTTTTTTCCTTTTTAAAAAAAGATCAACTCAGACTAAATTCTAACACAGTCATGCAACAGCCCACAGGTCCTATGGATCCAGAGACATCCGAGAGGTCCATAGGTGTTTTTATTTTATTTTTTTTGTCTGCTCCTTCAACCTCCTCTTGAGTAAAAATTTTTAAAAAAGACTAGAAACAAGATTACAAAGCAATCTGAGATGTGCAGGCATCAAAAGACTGTTCTGCTTGGTGAGAAATGTTTGAAAATTTCTTCCATTTGGTATTTTCCACTGTTTGTGTAAAAAAAAAAATCATATTTGATATTGGTTTGATCTCCTTCAGTTAACTATAAAGTGCCCCACTGGGGCACAAGAATTAGATTGTAACAACATATATATATTTATATATATATACACGCACACACACGCACACATCTTAAACTTTAATTAAAAACTTCATTACATCCCTCTCCTTCCCTTACTTGCACTCTAAGGGAATGGAAAGGCTCAGGCTCGGTATGTTCTGCAGTAGCCCCTCACTTCCATTACCTGGCCGAGATAGCGACCTAGTCTGTGGGTCTGGGACGGTGGGCTGAGGTGGGGGAGGCTGAACATTTGGTAGGTGTGGTCACCTGAGCTGATTTTGGGCAGTGGCGCCTTCACACTGGTAAATGTCAAATGATAATAAAGGCATTGCCTCCGTCAGGAACTGAACAGATGGTTTTTTTAAAGTCCAAATAAGGATAGTTCATTGAACGGAATGGTGAAGAGATGATGCAAAAAAGGGGGGGGGGAGGGGAGAGAAGATTTTTAGGAAGAATCTCCAGGAGGTCACTTAAATAGTTTTCATCTCTCAGATCTAATGAAGTCAGTTGAGTATTGGATGTATTGGCACTTTTTGTAATTGCTGAGTGTGTTAGCATGGGGTTGCGAAGGCCAGGCCAAATGGGCCCTTTCAGATCTTCAGAATATGCCTCACTCAGGACTCTGGAATATCTATCTGTTAGGACCAGGGATTGCTGGCATGTAGAAAGTCAGCCACACATTTAGATTCAAATCCTAGCTCAGCCAATGTAAAAATCACTCTCTTAGCCCCAGTTCTACATTAATCACATAGGGACAATGACTTCTTTTGCAGGGTATTGCCTTGCTGAACAAACACTGTGGAGTATTCCTTTCCTCACTCAAATGAGCTACACTAGTTTGTCTGAGAAGTAATGGTAACGAATAAGCACAGCACTCCTTTCCCAATTAATTTGCATTTCGAAGACAGAGGTGCAATGACATTCAAGGGAGTTGGGTGTGTTTTCAAACAAAGGGTACCTTTTAAATCAGGTGTGCATAGACACAAAATGAAGATACACACAACATCTTCCCCACACAGTGCAAGATGCCTTAGGAACACAGAGTCAGAAACAAAGGAACCCTTTCATCTCACTGGAGGTACCCTAAATGGAACCTGGGTAATGAGCAGGTAATGAACAAACCCAGCCTCTGCTCTATGACATCAAGGACAGCTGCACCCTCTGGCAGTGCTGTGTCAGAGTTTGCTATGCAGAAAAAGTGCCACAAGAAGAATCAACTGCATAGTAGAAAGAGGACAAGGCCTTTGGGGTGGACCAAGAAGCAGAGAACAGAAAACAGCACTCGGATTTGCAGGAGTTTCCTTTCCAGTGGTCCTCCACTAGTCCCAGAGCCAATGCTACATAAAACTTCCGCAAAGTTGCACAGCTCAGCTGTTTAATTCTTACAAGCAGCTCATACTTTCCTGAGAAGTTTGTCCTTTCCACAATGCAAGTCACCAGGGCTGCCACCGTAAGCAGATGAGACAGGGTGTTGTTTTTCCTCCTAAATGAGATGAAATTTTCCCGACTGTCTAGATCGGTTGAGACCCAAGGAAACCTCTGTGTCAAATGAAGCTCTGGAGCGGGGGGGGGCCCAACCTTTTTGAGCCTGGGTGCACCTCTGGAATTGTGGAACAGAGTGGTGGGGGCACAACCACAGAATAGCTGCTGCAGAAGGCAGAGCCATTCATGCAGAGGAAGCACAAGTGGAGGGGAGAAGAGGTAATTAAAAAAAAATACACTGGGAAAGAGGAGTGAAAGAATAAAACCAATACTGTGGTGGCAGCTGTCACTGAGACAATGCTTTTTTTATCTGCACAGCCAATTGGATCTCCAACGGCCAATGAAGAGAGCTGCTGGGCAAGAGTCCCACCTGGCCCCACCCACTTTCTAAAATCACTTGGTGGGCACCATGTTGAGGACCCCTGCTCTAGAGAATTTGCGTGTGTGCGCACGGCATCACGGATAATGTGAAGGCTCCTGCAAAGGAAGTCATGGTGAAGGCTCTACAAAGGCGGGGGGGGGGGGAGGCAGATACCCAGCTCAGTTGTTGCCTTCAAGTGGCAGAGTCGAACTATCTTCTTGCTTCTTACCAGCTCTGACTTTGTTGTTTTTCCTAACCCCAAACAAACCACTGATGTAGCTGCTGTCAGAACGGTTTCTAATTGGTACAGTTTGCTGCAGGTGAGAGACAGTTACAGACAGTGTTTCTGTTGCCTAACAATTCCTCTTGCCTTAGATCTTGCTTCTAGTTATTCTTTTTTTAAAAGAATGTTACTGAAAGACATTTGGGAAAAGGTGGTGAAGAGAAAATGTGTCAAAGTTGCCTCTGACTGCCTTGCAAGAGGAGACCCTGTAGAGTGGAACTGCAAGCAGCTTTGGAATTTGGGCCTTTATTGCTATCGGAACAGACATGGAGACACACTGCGTTTGGCTGGACTTGGGATGATGCAAGAAGTAAATATTCTCAATTCAAGCGTGAATTGCCAACAACAACTGTGAGGGCAACTCACATGCTGATTCTGACAGTACCCAACTACAGCGCAGGGCTGAATTATGTTTTTCAGCCCTCTTCTCTTAGGAGCGAGACTGACCAAGATGTCTCAGTTGTCCCCATCTGATTGGGCTTAAATGCTCCCACAGGCTGACTTGGGGAGAAGTAGCTGCCCTTCCGGCCTATGCACAATCCAGACCCCACCTCATGCTGCAGCATCTCCTACCAAGAGCCATTCTTTCACAGCAGAAGAAGCAATACTGAGCTCTGGCTCAAATGGGCAGTCGGGCTCTCTGTGCCGCTGCCGTTGCTCTGGGTGGGAATCGCTTGTGTGAACGTCCTCCAGAGTGAAAATGCCCTCTGGAAGGAAAGCTAAGTGAAAAGGGGGAAGGGGGTCCAGTGGCAGGAGGGACACAGAGAGCTTCCAAAAAGTTGCACAGCTCGGCTTTTTGAATTCTTACAAACAGCTCATCCTATTCTGGGAAGTGTCCTTTTCACAATGCAATTTATTGGGGCTGCAACAGTGAACAGATGAGCGAGGCCCTTCCCCTCGGGCTTTGGGGCTTGCCACACAGGGCCAACCCCCTCTTTCTTCCCTCTGTAAACCCTGTTGCTTCCTTCAGCAGCCTCTTAAGCAGCATTCAGAAATGAGAACACATATTTGGCCTGTGCTAAAGAACATTCGAACGAAACATGGCACAGGGCAAATTATAGGAAGAACTAAAGATAATGGGGACTCTTCTGTTGGTCCCAACTACACCATTACCATCCTAATCTAACAATGGTCCTTTATTCTTTTTTTGTAAAACAAAAACGAAAAAAACCCCAACATGACAGACTTTCCGGTTTTTGTGGAAAATTTAGAAGACCCTCTCCCCCATTTTAAAACCATTTTTTTTAAATTAAAAAAAATGTTTTCCTAGCTTTTGGAAATTGTGCAAATTCAGCAGTTAACACTAAAGGCAGAAGGCCAGAGAGAGAGAGAGAAAGGGAGAGAAGAGAAGATTTCTCCAGCAAGGTGTGAAAGGGAAAGCCAAGTACGGGAGGAAAAAAAATTGTAAGCCCACCCACCCACCCGCTACAGAAAACCATATTGTAAAAACGTCATCCTAGACATTTAGTGCAGTCCCCAACCTTCCACTGCCAGATCCGGGACAGGCCTTGGGGAGCAGTGGGCAGCCGAGCTGGAGCTCTTTTCCCTGACCTTCCTTGAGCATCTCGTAGGGTCCTTCAGATTCTTCGCTACGTCGCACCTTTCAAAAAGTCTCTACATAGGTTCATTTTTATGTTTGTGGTAACGGTGGTTAAGTTTTTGCGGTTTGCTTGTGTAAAAGTCTTCCAAGACGCAGCGGACTCTGTGCATTGCTTGGTGCTGGGCCCCAAGATATTCCTGCTTTCTTGCTTGCCGCGCACCTCCATGCCCTCTGTCTCCCCTATCTTAGTATCCACTGCTAGGGAAGTCTGCATCACCCACTCCGGCCTTTTCAGCTGCTCAGGGCCATTGTGTCAATTGCCTGCTCCAACTTACTCCGCAGCCGTTGCCTTCGGGCCTGTTCATCCTTCTCTAAAGCAGCTAAGATCTGGCAAGAGAAAATAAGGGAGAGGAAATGATCAGTGAGGGAGAGAGCAAGAGCCAGTATTGTCAAGCTTTGCCACAATTTGCAACACTCTCCCCCCTTCACCAACAGAAGTCCAGAAAGAGAAGGCAAAAAGATCTCCCTGTACTATCAAAAGCTAAGAAGGCATGCAGTGAAATCTTTCTTTTTAAACAACTGGTGTCTTGAACAACACAGACAGGGAGAAAGAGGCAAAAATGGCAAGAACTCACTGTGGAACTGTATTGGCAGACGTACAGTCAAGGGCATAGCCAGAAATTTTTTGGTGGTGGGGCTGGGGAGTGGGGAGCTTAATTAGATTAATCATTAACCTGCAAGGAGCCTCTTCCAGGAGCCAGCCAGGAGTGCCTCGCTGGGCAGCTGCAGGGAATTGACGCTCCTCCTCCATCCTTCCCGTCTCAGCAGGGGGATCAAGGGGCAGGCGGGAAGAAAGAAGGGCAACCCCGGCAAGGCGTGGAAAAGGGCTCTCCCACTGCACATGCCTCACTTTCAAACCCCATCCATTGCCAGTCTGACTACTTCACGCTGCCTCCCTTGTTGCCTGTAGCACTGTAGCTACAGTGGGGCCGAGAGGGAAAACTCCGGGCAGGAGAGGGCAGCGAGGCAAGGCACAGCGCTCTGTGGTCCACCTCATGCCTCCTGTTCTAGCTGAAAGCCTGAAGCTTTGTGTTTGGGAGTTGCTGCCCGGTAGGGCTCGGGTGAGTGGGAATGGTGACTTTTGGCGAGGCAACCTGGCCCACTCCTGTGTCGGGGAGGCGACAATGAGGGAGGCAATGCAAAACTGGTTCTTCTGCTCCTCACTCCTTTGGAGAGGCCAGCAGGAGTGCCTGGCAGTCTAGCTGTCCTGATCTCCTGGAAAGTGGCAGCTGCACACACTCTTGCAGCTTGCAGCCAGCCAGCCTTTCCCTGAACATGGGCAGGGGGTGGCCAAAGAGGGGGCGTGGCCCCGAAATGCCCCACTGTAGTTACGCACCCTGTGTACAGCCCTGACCATTCACTTGCCAAAATTAAGAGCAAGGTGGGTGGGGGCACACGCAAGGCATAATTACTGGGTGGGAGGGATTCTTAGTCTCGCCCTTGCCTGCCAATTCCCCCCCCCCCAAGATTTTTGCAGTCCAGCTGGCTGGGAAAAATAATTAACTCCTGGGAATGGAGCACACATGACATGGGAGAATCAGTGCATGGCGGAAAGATTAAGTATCTTTCCTCATATAAGTTCTCTCCAACTCTACATCAATGTTTCAAGGGAGGTGTATATATATATATATAAACTTTTATTGTCTTTGAATAAGAAGTAAGCCAAAGAATATAATTTCAGTAGGCTACAAGAGGGAATAAAAGGGTAGATTTTAAAACATCAAAAAAAAGTTTCAAGGGAGTTGCTGGGCTGGGAGTCCTCTGTTTCCTTAATATCCTGTCCTCACACTACAGGGGACACAAGAAAATCATTCTTCATTGAAGTGAGCCTTGAGAATCAATTCTGTCCAACTGAGGGATACTTTCTTAGGAAAGTTATGGAAACTTCTACCTTTCTGCCCAGAGGACAAAGAAATATTTTGAAGGGAAGGGGGGCTTACATTAAAACTAAGAACATTTCTGTCCAGCATTGAACTCCAGGTCTTCACAAAGCTTCTTTGTTCTTTACATCAGGGCTGTATCTGAGCTAACAGTATACATTATTGTTTACTAGATAAACTGGAAATCATCCCATTACTTGGGGTTTTGTTTTTGTTTTTTAAAAAATCCTGTGAGAGGACTGCATATAGGAAAACTATCTGAGTCTTAGAAAAAACTGCTGGGTAAATTCTGATCTTGGCAAACTCAGGGAAGATTCCAGGCCCCTTGGTCTGTGTGCCTCATCACCTGTACGGTTCCCCTTTCTTCAGCCCTCCCTCTGTCAACAGCCACCTTCCTGGGCTAGAAAAACCACTGATGAGGAACCCAAATCTGTGTGAGTGACAAGACTGATTCACACATGCAGTGCCAGAGAGGTCTGCTTCGGTTGGTGTGAGCCCTTGTTGCTATTCAGGAGATGCACTCACAATATTGGAGGCATCATACGGAAGGGTTTCTCCATTGAAATCTCATTCCTCTAAACAAACCCGTGTTCCAGTGACAGTTTAGAAAACAGGAGGGATACTCTTTTGATATTTAACATGATCCATGTCTTCATTAAAGATATCAGAGGAAAAGAGACGGTGGAGGAACACTGAGGATACGTAGCATCTTTAATACTGAACTAAAATAATCCAGTTCTCATGCCGTTCTCAGAGTCATTCATATTAAAATCCCTAGCTTGCAATTTGGGAAACTAGAAAAAGTCCATTCTTTTTACATTCATTAACTACTATGTGAAATAAAGTATAGCCATGGATGCTGCGGAGAGGGCTTGGGGTGATGAAAGGAACTGGCAGGAGTTGGGGGGTTTCAGCAAAAGAGACTGAGAAAATGAAACAGTGGAGGCGTACAGAAGAGATATGCCCCGTCATCAGGAGTGCTGAACCAAGCTCCACCTCCTTTCAATTGCATAGTCAGATAAAGAACGGATGATTAAAATGCAAACCCATCAGAAATCCCATTACAGTGGCTAAATTTGTTGTGAAAGCGAGGTAGATTTCTCTTTCCAATTAAATGTCAAGGCATCCATCAAAGGGGACGATTAACCATTTCATTGGCTGCATAATTGGAAATAAACTCTTGTATAATTAATAGACTGACTATTAGGAGGCAGAAAAGGTCTATCGCAAGCCCTACAGGTAATTCCTTAATATGGAAATCAGCTCCCTTTGATTAAGAGCAACTGCGGCGCCCTACAGGTCTCCCAGCACTGAACGTGCAGGATGTGCTCTGGGAGAGTTCACAGGGCTGCAGCTCAGGGCTGCGTGGATGTTGCAATGCATTAAAAACTCTGGACTGGTTACACAAAGGTGTCTCCCACGTCACTAGTGAGAGCATGGAGAATCATGGAGGAAAACATGCTAAGGTTGTAATCCTAAACTGATTTACAAGGGAGTAGATACTATTGAACTCAGTGGGACACTGGTTTGAGCAGACAAGCTTAGGAGCTTGCTGCATACCTGTAGCACAGAAGATAAGATATTTGATCTGCTGTCTCTTGAAAAACCTCAAGGTTATTTTACAGCCTCCAAGGTACGAAACTGGGTCTGATGCACTTGGCACAGTGATAACTCTGATTTTGATCAAGCAAAAGGACCCCAATATTTCTCCTAAGCACCCTTCTCTGCCAGCAACCATGGGAACCTCTAGATGGCACCAAGGCTCTTAATGCAAAAAAACTCCAATACATTTGTCTGGCAGTAATAAAAACAATCATCTTAAAGCTACTGGAATCAGTCAGCAAATTGGAACAGGAGTTCCGCCCACAGCCCCCAGATCTATTTCTCTCCTAATACATGAAGACACTTCTCGCTGAAGCCTGAGACTGAAAGATGTGCAACCTATTTTGTATTTGTTTGATCTTCCACTTTCACTGTTGCCCTTATGGGAGTGACACGGTAAAAAAATGGGAAGCGACAGGGAATACGAAGAAAGAGATACATGTCTGTCACCTGCTGCAAGGAGCTGGGACCGTCGTGATTACAAAGATGCAAAAACCCAAATGAAAATTATGATTTTCATTCAGTGCCAATGACAGCATATTATAGAACTGAACAACAGGAAAAATTATTCTCTCCCATTTCGCATCAAAGAGGGTGCAATCGGGCTGCATGTAATTGTGTTTAATGAATGAAAACAAACAAAGGGAACAGCTGCTATTTATTAATCCCATTACGAATAATAAAAGAAGTTCCTGAGAGCTGTGAACACACAGGCAGTGCTTTTAGAGCAGGCTATGGGTGCACATTCAACAGATGCCAGACAGTGGTTAACCAGGGACGACAAGGACTGGCAACTCCTCCTGACTCCAGGCTCATTAACATCACACTTTCTAAATGCGCTGAATGTTTGCCTTCTTACTGATTTCTGCTTTTAAAACCTTGTTGGTTTGTAATGGTGAAGGAAAAGGAATGTCGGGAGCTTGGAGACCAGCCTTGGGGTAAACAGCTGCCACAAAAACATCTCTAGAAACAGACCCCTTTGTCTAAGCCTTGAAGTAACTCTTGGCGTGTCCATGGATAGCTTTGCACTTTGCTCAGAAACACTGTGACAGTACTGACTGCTGGGACTACGCTGCACCTTAATGGTTTTCTTCCACAGGGGCAGACTGCCTAGAGAAGGACTTCCACTTGTGCCTGCCCAATCCTGACCCTGCTCCTGGGATTCTTGGCATACATCAGGGATGGCCAACTGTCAGCTCTTGGTCTAGATCTGGGTCCTGATGGAATATTTGACTCCCAGCACCTCCACCAAACTTAATCAATATAATGTTGCTCACAGTTTCTCATTTGTAATGTGGTGTTACAGGAGAGTTTTGTGGATACTATGGATTGTCATAAAGACAAATAGGTTGTCTCTAAATTAAATCAAATCTGAACTCTCCCTAGAAGCTAAAATGACTAAACTGAGGCTATTGTACTTTGGTCACATTATGAGAAGACAGGACTCACTGGAAAAGACAATGATGCTAGGAAAAATTGAAGGCAGCAGGAAAAGAGACAACCCAACATGAGATAGATTGATTTAATTAAAGTAGCCATGGCTTTCACGTTGCAAGGCCTGAGCAAGGCTGCTAATGGTAGGATGTTTTGGAGGTCACTAATTCATAGGGTTGCCATAAACTGGAAACAACTTGACTGCACACAACACACATATTGATATTCCAGGCATGGACAGTGAAAAGGCAAAGGTCTACTGTCAATCTGCCTCTTGAGGGAATCATTCATGAAGCCACCAAACACATTGTGCAAACAAATATACATAACTGTGAAGCTTCTACTGATAATTAGATGCCAACTGTATTGCAAAGCCTGACAACTTACAAATGATAGTTCAGACTCCCTGAT